TGAATTATCTGTATACTTTAATATATCACTTTAATAGGTCTAACCTGTTGAAAAAACATGAATTAATTTAGCCTCACATGCCTGGAGGTAATAATGCTAGCCCTACTTGACAGATGGGCAAAGTGCTGCATAAAAGAGTTCAATAATATGCCCAGAACCACACAAACTTAGGGGCAGAGTCAGGAATAGAATGCAAAAAGCCCAAGTTGCACTCCCATGCCTTATTTCACCTCTATCCTACTGACAGAGAGGAGAGACTTTTGCTGTGTTCAAAGTGTGTGTGGCCATCTCAATCACACCCTGCCAAATTGTCTTCTCTTTTCTGCTCTAAGACTGACTCTTGTGCCCATTGGGTCTCTGATTGTCTCCCTCTCTCCCAGACCTTTGTTCCTCTTGTTCTTGCCCTAGAGCAGTGGCTCTCAATCCATTTATCACTCTGGGCTGGATATGCAGTAAAGATGTTAAGAAGCAGGCAGTTGGCTAATCGTGTCGTCGCTACAATTTGTATCAACTACATGATTAGTCGATAAGGGAAGATGCTCTGTCCCTGCTCACGCTGGGTCCAGGAGTTTCCCCCACTGTGGCTCTGCAATTCAAAATGTAGTAGGAGCCGGGTGCACAAGCAGCCCAGTTCCTACTACATTTAAACTGCAGAGCCACAGCGGGGGTAGGTGCCGGATCTGGCTGAGCCGGGACTGAGCAGTTCTGGCTTGTGCTAGCTCTGGGACTGCTGCGGCTCTGCATTTTAAATATAGTAAGAGCTGCCCAGCTATATTTAAAATGCAGAGCTGCAGCAGGGTAGCTCCAGGACCGCTGCAGCTCTGTCTCCCCTCCCCGCACACAGCGGAAACACTGCTGGGGGGAAACTGACTTTTAAGCCATCTCTTGCTCCCCCTGCCTTGCTGCCTCTGATACAGAGGCAGAAGGGGGAGGGAAGCAAGTAGTCAAGTGGCTACTCAACTCGTCACTTGCACCCCTAATATGCAGCTCTCTCTGTGTTATGTGGGCCACATGCACGCAAGATGTATACATTACCTATATGGCCCTGAGGCAGTCACGTGGGCTCAATTTTGTGCTGATTGGATCACTGCTCTAGAGGCACTGTGTGCTCTCAATACCCAACGTTCACACCAGAAGCACTGTGCAGACCCCATTATCTCTCCTTTTGCCTCCCACATGCACACACAAATTGGGGTGGTGCACTTGCAGCTCTCACAGGTGTCCGAGACAGAACATCAGAAATGGCTGCCCATCACAGGGAGCCATAGCCTGTAATACCTCTGAGGCTGGTATAGGGGGCTCTGTCTGTGAGGTGGAGTGTTTTCCATATAAGGGCATGTAAATTAATAATCTTCCCCTGCTCGCTCCACCCATTGCAGTGAAAGATCAGCCAATGGGCTGACTTGTGCTCAGGCCTGCTACTCCACCCACTGCAGCAAAAACCAACCTATGGGGTGATAAGTTCACAGGCAATAAAACAGGCAGGCAGCCCCTCTCTCACTGGGGATTCGCATTGAGTGAACGCCTGGCCTGATCACCCAGACGCCTTGCACCCCCTGCTCTCGAGTCTTAATGAGTGTACTCCGAGTTGGTCGACCCGAGTGGAGACAGTTTATGAGCATGTGACTGGTACTTGTGTTCCTGCTGTCTCCAGAGCTGGTATAACCCCCCCAACCCAGCCATCATCCCTATCCTAATTGATTTCTTAGTTGTCCTTATTGCTTGTCAAGTGACAGTGGTTAAAAAGTTACTAAGTTAGTTTATAAATAGTTGTGGTTTAAGGTTTTTACTGTTTCCTTGTATAAAGTTGTGTAAATAATCAGCCCTATGGACAATACCAGTGTTAATTCAACTGTTCCTAACCCCTGGGCAGTTATTGGGAATTATTGTGATTTAGAAAAGCCTCAGGGAATTGTTTTGTGTTGTCTGGCAATCTGTTTAATTTTTGTTCTGATGATTGTCTGGCGCCATCAAAATAAAATCAGTTTGTTCTTTTTGAAACCCCCAGTTGTGGTCTCATCCTTTCCGACATCCCTTCGAACCTCGTGTATTACGGGGACTGACAGAGAAAGATATGAAAAGTTAAAGAATTATATAAGGGAAAATGAAACAAAAGAAAACAGTGTAATTAAAAAATGAGTGAATGTGAAGGATCAGCAAACAGGCTGTCTCTGTGTACCCTTCTCTCTCCCCCACACTTAGGGTTGCCACCTGTGCAGATTTCCTCAGGATCATTCCTTTTCCGGAGGGGGCTGTCTGAGGAAAGCTTTAAGGGGGCTTAGCTTTATAGACTCAGGATCATCCCATGTGTCTCAGTTTTGTTTTGTCTTCTGAGGTAGTGCCTATTACACCTTCATCTTCTCCCCAGCACAACAGGTCTCTCCTCTTATCATTGCTGGACTATGGTCTGTCACCTCCTTCCTTCGCCACACACCAAGCTATTGAGTCTCTAGGCCCCTCTTTGCCCATTGGGGGCTGCTGCTGCCCCTGCCCCTCATCTTGGGAGGGTGGCTGGCAAGTGGCTAGTATTTCCTTGTGGGGAAGCAGCAGGACCCTTTTCTCTTTCATTTAGCTCCCCCTGCTGGGTAAGTGTGGCACTGCTTCCATCCTTGCTCTCCAAGCCATTCTCAGCTGAGAGCAACTTCGGTTCTGGGTCTGTCAGTACCTTGCGCATGCAGCTCTAGACTACAGCCTATTAGGGGCTGGGCAAAAGCCAGCAATGAGCAGCTAGTCTCCCCTGATTTACAGGGCAGGGGGTGAGCAATAATGCTCTGCCTCCCTCCCTACTACCCTTGTGATGGCATGTCACTGAAGCGAATTGCTTGTGCTGCACCTAGGAACAACCTGCACCAGGAACAAGTTGAGCCTAGTCAAGATTCAAGATTGAATGCTAAAAGGTAAATGGCAAAGCACCAACATTTTTGCCCACATGCCAACTGCACTGATAACTAACCATGGGCTGGGGCAGAGGCCAAACCTAGCTTATGACACCATTAGGGGACAGGTAGGATCTTTAAGTGACTTATGTGCATTAAATAAGCTTCACATCACTCTTGGGACACAGGGACCTATCGCCCTTCTTTCAGAGGTGGGAAAAAATTAGGCACCTCCCTAACCAGCCAGGATTATCAGGGGGGACAGTTAAATTGTTTTTGGCTCTTCTGTACTGCAGCTGATAGGAGAATCTTTTATTCATTCAAGAAGAGTCATCTTTCCTCTTTGTATTACAGTAATACCTAGAGAACTCAAAGGGGAACCTTTGAGTTCTCTAGGTATTACTGTAATACAATCTGGAGTGAGGCCACTGTAAAAGCAGAGAGATTGTCAGTTCTGGGGCAGGAATTAAGGGTATATCTACAGTACACAGCAAAGGAAAACCTCCAAGTGGCTCCTGCCAGCTGGCTCAGGCTTCTGGGACTCTGGCACTGAAGATGAGAGGGTTCTAGAACTGGGCCCAAGACTGAACATCTACTCAGCAATGAAACCACCACACAGCCCAAGCCACCTGGCAGGGCCACCCAGAGATTTTCTTTGTGTAAATATACCCCAATAGACAAAGGCTGAAAGAGGAAACATGAGGGGTGTAGGGTTACCCAATAGGTCAGTGAGGATGCATCTACACTGCACTGGTATTTCGAGATAACTAGCGTTATTTCAAAATAATGCGAGCGTCTACACAGCCATTCCATTATTTCAAAATAATTTCGAAATAATGGACTTATTCCAAAATCTGTAAACCTCATGCTATGAGGAATAACGCCTATTCTGAAATAGCTATTTTGAAATAAGTCATGTGCAGACGCTCCCCTCCTGCTATTTCAAAATAGTCCCTCACCAGGATCATTCTAAGTTTTTCCTCCCCAGTGCCTCCTGGGGCTCTAAATCAAGATAGCATGTTTACATGAGGGAAGCCTGCCTCAGACTAATTTTGAGGCTTCCCTGCAATGTATACATATTTCAAAATAACCTATTTCGAAATAACTATTTCGGAATAACTTATTTCGAAATAGCTGTGCAGTTAGACGTACCCTGACAGAGCTAAGAATGGAACATAGGCCTTTTGAATCTCAGTTGAGTACCATACCCTCTGAACCACATTGCTTCTCTGATTGCTACTTGTGAAAAGTATGTCAGTTAAGAAATTCTGTTAAATGGTCAAATATTTATAGTAGCAATAGGGATGCCTAAGAAATTTTGTCTAATTAAAAAAAATACACGGTGGGTGAAGTAATCTTTCCCGTTACACAGCGATCTATGTAGCTCAAAAGCTTGTCTTGCCAATATCCTGGTTGTTTCAATAAAAAGTATTCTCACTCCCCTTGTCTTGCCAATATCCTGGGACCAACATTACTACAAGAATGCCCCGAAGATCTAATACAAGACCCTCATTCCAGACTCCATTTGCTTCACTGTACAATCAAGCAATGCACGTAAGAACTGCAGTGTCCATTTTCCTGCAAACAAAATGGTACAGAATTATTTTCTTCAAAGATGAGGCAGTTAAAATAATAAGACATAAACAATAGAAAAAAGTACTCATTTATTCAAGGTATGACAAGTGTATTTACAGTATTCATCTGATCAGGGTAGATCTGTTAGTAAGCCTTAATGCAGCAATTATAAATTACATTTAAAAGAGGAAATGCTCCAAATATGTTTCTGTCACAGAAGATACATTTTTGCAGTGACAGAAACACTTAAGGCTAAGAAGTAGTTTGACTTCTTCCCTACCACCTACAGGTACTTAGCAAAACTGATGCTTGTCTTTGAGACTGTTACCTTGAGGGATACAGCTTGCTAAATGCTACACACAACACTGTCCCGTCAGGTGAGTAGTATATTTGTCAGTCTCACTTCTGACAAAAAATGAGCACCACTTGGCTGACACTTGATGTGAAACAGTGAATTCAAGTAGAAGAGAGGTAATTTCCAGACCTCTCTGTTTCAATGAAGGGCTGAGAGACCATGGGACAAAAAGATGTCACACTTTAAAGGTTCTGTCCAAATTGTTTATGGAGAAAGGTTCTTGGCATAAGTTTATCAAGCAATTTGCTTCCAAAAATAGAACTACAGCAAACAGTCATGTGGTATAATCCAGATTTTGCACTTTAGATTACTGAAAAGACCATAGCATTTTCCCACATCTACTGTAAATGAAATACATTGATTTTTTTAAAATTGATTCTCATGAAGCTGATGCAAACTAGTATTTCAAGCCCATTTGGGGTTGTTCAGAAAGTAAATTAACTAGTGTCAGAAAGGCATTGCTTGAAACAGAACAGATACTCAGGGCAATTCAAATAGCTTCTTCTCGAGGTAGGCGCCACAAGTGATATTTAGTCCTGTTTGTAAATTAACACACATCAGGAAAATAACAGACCAAACAGCCCAATCCACAACCAAGTTCTTTCATTATTAAAATTAAAAAGCCATAATGCGCACTGACTAAGCTTAAAGATGCACTGGACTACCAGGGTATCACTCGATTCATTTTGTTCCCCAAATGCTTTGCATTTTACCTTCCATTACATTGTTCCCCAGAAGAAAAGTAAATTTGGAACTTTAGAATATAAGCCATGTGATTTATAGATCTGCAACTGAAAAACCCACCACCTATGCAAAGATGATTTAAAACGCCTTCCAGAAATGTATATTTTGTATGTGATGGCTCATCCCATCTTAAATACGTTATAAAAAAAATTAGTTTAGTATTTTCTAACTTTTCGAAAGAATCACTCATTAGATTGATGAGACTATTGCTACTGGAATAAAAAAATACTGAAAAACTGCTGAAGTCAAGGTTTGCACAGATACAAATTACTTGCCAATCATTTTAGATGTAAAATACGATGAATCCAGATTTACTGGAACTGCATATTAGACATTCCAACAATATTAGAAAAAAAACTACTCTGAACTATATGCAATTTTCATTTACCACAATTTAGGCAAAAGAAAGTTATAGTTCAGATAATATACATACTCTGTAATTATCCAATTGCTTTCATGATTGATGGGATAAATAATTTACAAATGACTGATATCAAGCAGCAATCAAGTCGTATAAATAGACATTCAAACCGGCATTTATTTTTTAGTTAATTTAATTTTTCAGAAACTCTCGCGCAGTTTAAAATTTGATTTTGTTATTGTAAAAATGAGATCTGTAACTGGTAGTTCTATGGCAAAAGGAAGCCTGAGCCTCCAACTTTTTAAAAACATGTTTCATATTGAGTAGGAAATATTGGGTAGGAAAACCAAATTTCATTAACTAAACATGACATGCAAAAGTTTATTCAGTGGCAAAGGGCTACATTCTCATCTTAATGTGAAACATTAACATGAAGCAAGGAAAAAAAAATCCAAAGGAGTGTAAGTCAGTATCAAGAGTTCCCATCTAAACTGTCCAAATTCTGAACCAATTGCGATTTTAGACTGAACTTAGTAAAGACTGACCTTTTGCATATTTCAAAATTGAAGGCAAATCCAATCAACTTACATTTGGCTATGAAAAACGAAGATAACAATGAAGTTTTATTTTAGCCACACATTTACAAAAATGTTTACAGCAGAAGTGTAAAGGGGTTTGCTGTGTTGTTACATATGTTTAAAATGATTATGCACCTTAACTTTCATGCATGAAAGACATATTTTGTTAAACAATAGTAATATTTCCCTCCCCCCCCCCCCCTTTTTTTTTTTGAAGTGGCAGGCGGTAGATTAGGTAGGTAGAAGGAGAACACTTTAAAAATAACAACCTGTTCACACTACCAAGCCTTCAAAATAAGGAGGTAAAGTACAGGCACCGTTAGTTCCATGAGGGTTCATTATGGTTAGCATATTTTCCAAAAACATTAAAACCAGTCCTGAACAGTTGTAACATGGGTTATCCCATGACTTTCATCTCTTCAGTTTACTTCCTAAGTTCTTGGAGTAGCTTGTCTCAGAAGCATGCTTGCTGAGTTTCTTGTCTAATGATGTATTTTGTAGACTACACATTTTAAATTAAACCTTTATGTAAAGAATGTTACAAGCTCTTCCTTTGTACACAATTTAATCTTTGTGCTGAATATTCTTCAAAAAGGACTTTATAAATAATACAATAAATTTAGAACCAGAATTTCTGCCCACTTGACATTATACCATGTTGTTGCTTTCTCCAGCTTTATCTACAAGCTGTAGGAGAGAAGAGACAAAAGAAATAATTCTTTAAGTTATCTGCATGTTTATGTCTGCACATTCAAAATGCTACCTCAAAAATATAAATTAGTACTTGGGTGCATTTAGTAGGTGACTGAAAATGATTATAGTCAAATAGTACTCACCAAGGTCTCATGAGATACAGTATATACATTTGTAAACATTAACATTACCTTACATTGCAATTTTGTGTTTCTGCATGGTATGTTTTTTGTGGATATTAACAGTGCAACATGAAGATGCAACAGAATGAAAACATAAATCAGAAAAATGCAGGTAACACTGCTAGCTTCATGGCCAACATAAAATACAATAAAATATAAATATTAACTAAAAGGAAAACATATCAGCCACTCATGCATTAACAGATCAAATAAGATATTTCAACTGACCATTACTGTGGATTCTCTTCTGAGCCTACGTAGGCTTTGAATAAAACATTAACAATTATCTTTTTAAATAGGATTTAACCCCATTAAGATCAATTTATATATATAGGTAAGATCAATTGCTGAGTGGAATATTCAATTGATCATGGATTATGAGCAAGGCCTTGGCCTGGCACTGTCAGACTACAACATTCAAATAGATGAACTTGAACTTTAAAATGAATCCATCTTTGCATACTGGACTTTGTATGTCTTAGTTGTACAGCGTTTGCATTTTATTATGTATGTATTAAATGGTAGTTTTCAAAACTAAAGTGAAAATGTTTCCCATTACAAATTTCTAAATACTAAGGGACGTACACTCAGCACAAATCCTAGGTTAACCTCTCCCTGGCACTATTTGCCCCTTTTCTATTTCTTGGCTATTTTGATAAGAAAATGACATTTGAAAAACACAAATCCTAGTAAGTGGCAAAGCTTAGCCCAAGCATAATGGACCTGAATAAGTATTAATTAGATGAATGATTATGTATCACATGAAAGTTTATGGATCAACAATATTTTCATTTTACCGTATAGTAAAAAATAGTGAATCTAGTCTACTTTCTTATACCTGCATTAACATTGACAAGTCTCTGCTTCCAGACATCCTTCCATTCTACATCACAATTGTTCTTCTGGAATTATGAATAATATCCAGTAGATCTCATTCAAAGAATCTATTTACTAATATAGTACCAAATGACCTACACAAAGTATGCTCATGCCTAGAACCAGGTGCTAGGCATATTCTTGAAGGTGTATGAGAGACTGAAATTACTCTGTGGCTCTTATATGCTTGATTTACACAAAATAAACTGATTAAACATAAAAACTTAAGTCAGGGTTAAAACTACTCCTAACATTATTTTTGCCTCCCTGTTGTACATGAATAATGCTGTCTCAGGTCACTGGCATTTGTAACATGCATTTGTGATTCAAAACTTGACTACAATGATGCAGGAATAATCAATTCGCTATAAGTCTCTTTAGTGCTGAGGCTGCCATGGAAACTAATTTTAATTTCTTCTTTAGGACTGAATATGAGCCGTATGGTGCAAGAACTGTACAAAAATACACATTGTAACCAATCTCATTTATCGCTCGATGACTATGTGCATAGTATTACTGCATTAGTATCTGATAAACGTACAACATGATAAGATTCCAAAGTTAATGTTACGTAGATGAATACTTACTGAGCTTATACCAGGTAAATTCAAAAGATAACCAAGCACTGGCACTCTTCTAATAAAACCAATCACCACAGGAAAGAAACCCCTGTAAACAAAAACATTGCAGTGTGACATGGGTCCAGCATGACATGATGATATTCTGACATACGAAACAGGAGGAAAGAATGAGTTATTTGAAATGAGATTGCATTAAAAAAATTACTTGTGGCTTGTTAGTAGGAAAAAATGTTGGCACACATATACAGGATCTGTTATTTTAGGAGGAAAGTGAGAAAAAGAAATTGCAGGGGAAAATACAACATTCAAAATAGTTCCCCCCCCCCCTTCAAATGTTTTGAAAATCCCACCCAATAAATACAATAAAGTATCTAAGTCCCGCCTTTCAAATGTTTTGAAAATCCCACCCAATAAATACAATAAAGTATCTAAGTGAGTTAGCAGCATGTTAAGGGTCACTGAAGCCTGCAATCCTAAAGACTGAAGTACTTTTTGAAAACTGCACCAGTATTTAATAGAAATTTAACACATTTTACCCATAAATTTAATCCTATATTTGGGCATAAAAGTATTTCAGAAGCTGACGCTATAGTAGATTATGACAGATACAGGGGCTGATTTGATGTTTTAAGGTGAAAGATAATCTCTCTCAATGTTTAGTTTTGAAAAAACTTCCTGAGTAACCTGGGACTTTTGCAGATTACCACTTCTGGCAATTAAATAAGCAAATAATTACAAAAACAAAGGGTACGTCATTAAAATGTCATCTGTTCACTTACTGTGACAGTAAGTTTAATTTAATTGATTATTTATAGCCATGGTCCCCAACCTGTCAATCATGATCGACTGGTCGATCGGGGGAGGGCACGACCAGTTGATAGTGAGGCGACCCAGCCCCGTCATTTTCCCAACCCCACGTCCTGCGAAAATGGAGGTAGTGTCAGCTTCCTGCAGCGTGGGGGGGAAGTGCCAGAGCTGGTGTCTCAGGAAGCATGCGGGCTGCTCTTCCCCTCCCCCAAACAGCTGGTGCATTTCCTGAAATTCTGGGTCTGTCACGCCACCAGGAACTTCCTTCCCCCTGCTGCCTTCCTGTGGGGGGTGGGGGGAGAGAATGAGAGGAGTCGTCGTCGTCCCAGGACTGCACACCAGCTCCAACTACTCTGTGGGGAGAGAATGAGGAGGAGGAGGAGGAGTCCCAGGACTGCACACCAGCTCCAACTACTCAGGAGCATGCGCTGCCATGGGTAGCTGAGCAGTTGGAGCTGGCGCGCAGTCCCGGGATTCCTACTCCCTCCCCCCATGCAGGAAGGCAGAAGGGGGAACGAAGTCCCTGGCAGCATGACAGACCCAGCTTTTCAGGAAGAGTCTGGGGAGGGGGTAGCAGTGCAAGTGCTTCCTGAGTCCCGACCTGGCGTGCTGTTGCGGGACCCCCAGGTACCAGCCAAGCTGTCCCTGTCCCCTCACCCAGCCTAGACCCCCCTCCTGTCCAGGGCCCCACCAGCACCCTGCTCCTGCCCCCTGGCCAGACGCCATCCAGTCCCTGCCCAGACACCACCACCACCCTGCCTCTAGCTCGTGGCCAGATACCCACCAGCACTCTGCCCCCTGCCTCCTAGCCAGACACCCACCAGCACCCTGTTCCTGCCCCCTCCCTCCTGGCCAGACATTTGCTTCTGTACCCTGTTTTCCACCCAGATTCTGCACCCCATCCCCATTCCACTCACTGGCAGCCCCCAGTCCCTGCCCAGACACCACCACCACCCTGCCTCTAGCTCGTGGCCAGATACCCACCAGCACTCTGCCCCCTGCCTCCTAGCCAGACACCCACCAGCACCCTGTTCCTGCCCCCTCCCTCCTGGCCAGACATTTGCTTCTGTACCCTGTTTTCCACCCAGATTCTGCACCCCATCCCCATTCCACTCACTGGCAGCCCTGTCCTGCACACTGGATCCCTCATTTTTGGCCCCACCTCAGAGCGTAGAGGATCCCATAAATTCCACTAACCTGGAACTCCAGAAGAGTTAATCTGGCCTGAGGCCTTGAACCTCAGTCCTACCTATCCTCCCCCACATGGGGCTGGGGTGCCAGGAGAGGGAGGTATCTCATCAGTGAGGCTTGGGGGGATTTGGAGGGGTTGTTTTTTTGCATCTTACTTGTGTGGTCCCTGACTGATTTTTTTTGTGGGTCAGTGACCCCCGACCCAAAACAAGTTCCCCACTCCTCCCATAAATAAAGACAGTGCTGAAATGTTTGTATTGGACATAATATTTTATTAAAAAATGAAGCCTGGCCAACAAGCCCCCATCTGGCAGCAGCATCATAACACCCTTGCATCCCCAACCCCACCCCTCAACCCTGAGCCTATCATACACTGGAACCCCCTGTCCTTAGCCTCTCACATCTCCAGTCTTCTGCCACAACACTACTGCACCATCCACACACTGAAAATCTGTGTCCTGAGCCAATCATGCTCCCAACCCCCCTGCTCTGAGCTGCTCCTACACCCCAACCTGAACTCCTGCACCCTCACATCCACGAGCCTGTGGTTTACTCAACACCCCAACCCTCCACCTGACCCCAACACTCTCCAGCCTGGAGTTCTCTTCCTGAACCAGCAGCCCCTTCTCCACCTCCTCCTGTACCAAGATTCCCCCCCAAACCTTGCACTTTTCATCCCTTCCCACACCCAAATCTCTCATTCCCACCCCAGAGCCTGCACCCAGTGAGAGAGCGAGTAAGGGCTGAGGACAGGAAATGATGGAGTGGAAGAGAACAGAGAGGGCTGGGCCTCAAGAAAGGGGTGGGGTCTTGGGGAAGGGATGGGGTAGATCTTGGCTTGCCCTGACATTTAAAAATTGATCTTGGGTGTAAAAAGGTTGGAGACCACTGGTTTATAGTATACCGTTAATGTAGTGCAAATGCATTTTATAAAGTAATGAAGGTCTCAGCGCAGCAGCCACTTATTAGACATTTGCTGCAGCTATGCATTTGGCCAGTTATTTCCTGGTTTCTTTTGACATTTCAGACTGATGTATGGAAGAGAACTTATTCTTTCTACTTGATTCTGCAGCAGTCACACCTACTTTTTTGATACTGCAGTCTATTACAGAATAGGGATGTAAGCGACTAATCGACTAGTCAACTATCTGATAAGCAAAAGCTTACTGGATAGTCGACACACTAGTCGACTAGTCGCTCCCTCCTCCACGTTACTGCCTCTATCACAAAGAGGCAGCAAAGAGGGGAGGGGAGAGAAAAGAAGGGAGTGCTGGACGAAGACAGCTTAAAAGCTGGTTTGCTCCAGCTCCATGGGATGGGGCAGCAGCGCAACTGCAGCGTTCCAACTTTGAAATGTACAGAAGTTCCTGCTGGGGCTCTTGTACATTTCAAAGCGGAAGCGCCGCATGGAGCCCGGGGTCAACAGGGGACTCTCCGCTGGCCCTGGGCTCCCCATGGTGTTTCAACCTCTGAAATGTGCATTTCAAAGGTGGAACACCATGCTAGTCCTTATCAACTAATCAAATAGTCAATAGAAATCCCATCGACTATTTGATTAGTTAATTAATCGAAATTTAACATCCCTATTGCAGAAGTCAGCATATCACAAATGCAGCATTATGAGGGAGATGGGCTAAAAAAATAGTAACTACTTATTTTAAAACAAATTTAAGAAGTGTCAAGAAAAGAAGTGGCTTTATGCTCCGAAGTCTTTTAGGTTTGAAAGACTATGAGAGTTCTTTAATGTCTCTTGTTAATAATAATTATTTTCATTTAAAAGACTGTGGTAAGACTTTATGTAGAATTAACTTTAGCCACTTCATTACTTTGGAGATTGTTCTTTCATATATATATTAAAATTCTGTCACACAGCAAACATGCTTGATGCATGAAGTACCACCACCGACATTTCAGAATTTTTTCTTACAATGTCCTTTGTTGCTTTAAAGCTCTGAAGTGTTACCAAAACAATTTTTGCTGTAAAATGGCTGATTAGAGATGCAAATAATACATTCAAATAGACCATTATGACACACATATTGAAATTATTCATATTATGATCTCTTAAGGATATGATGAAGTTCCTATCAACATGTGCTTTTACAAATTTATCAAAATTGAAAAGTCAATTTACAAGTGACAAAAACAAAATTCAATTTTGATAAATTTGTAAAGTCAATTTACAAGTGACAAAAACAAAATTGCCTCTCTGATCTAAGACTTCCTTCAGTAATTGGTGCATTAACAATTAATATCGAATTGCAAAAGATTTGTGGTGATATGCTGCAAGTTAAGAATGAAATAACTTGGACCAACAAAAACTAGGAAGTTCTAAATTAGAATCTAAAGATGGGATTTTTAAAAGCACTCTGCTTTTGACATAACTCTTTTCCCACTTAAGTCAACAATAAAAATTCCATTGACTTCAGAAGGAGCAAAGGCAGGTCAATACTGCTTTTGAAATTCCCAGCCTAAGGATGTCAAAAAGTGGTTACTTTCCTAATCGAGTAGTCAATAAAAAAAATTATTCACTACTGATTAATCTATAAGGATCAGCAGTTAGAGCACTCAGTCTGGTTTGCGCCAGGTCCCAGCATAACCTTCCCTGCTGCCGCTCTACATTACAAGAGACAGGGGAGCTGCGCACACACCAGCTCCCCTGTCCCTTGTAATGCAGAGCAGCTGTGGGGGAAACAGGGTTAATGCTGACTAATGAGAGTCCCGGCTGGGACCAGGGACTGAGCCAGCATCTTTGTGGGCCAGCTCCCGGCTCTTAATATTTCACAGCGATAGCAGAGTGGGGAGGGGAGGAATGCAACTAGTCTATAGTGCTAACCGATTAGTTGATTAGCCACTTACATCCCTATGCCAGCCTAATGTTTAAATATAGAGCTATATACCCAACATTCACTAGTAAAAGAGATTATGATCTGAGTTACATTTCTTTTGACTTCCATAGCAACTGCATTAATTTTCACCTGCCACTAAATCACCATGGAAAATATGCTAGTGGTGACTGTTCTGGATAGGGATGCAAAATCCAGTTTAATTGGGATCCCATTTAATTATGTTTAACCCATTAACCCATTTAGGGGGACATGCAGGGGGCTGCTCCAGCCCCACTGGGTTGGAGTCCCCCTCTTCCCTGCTGCAGACAAGGGCTGCTCCAGCTAGCTGGTGGGAGCAGCCCCTGCCTTCAGTAGGCCCCATGGGGCTGGAGAAGCTCCCTGCCAGTTAACTGGAGCCAGTAAGCTTCTCTATAAGGGTGAGGCTTTCTGGTTAACCATTCAAAATCCGTAATTCTGGAGTCATGAGTCACACAACAATTTCAATTAAATAGTTCTGATTTCATCAGAAGTTCAGGGTTAAGTTAAAAAAAAATCTATGATGTCATCTCTGAGTGACATTTTTCCCTTTCCCTTCAAGGGATGGGGATTTCAGCAAGGCAAAAGTGATATGAAGAAAAATAATAAATGGCTTCTTATGGGAAATTCTAGGTACAAGTATGAAATGTATTATATATGAATGATTTTTCAAATGTACATAAAATTCAGTTTTGTTAACCATATAACAAAATCCTACTCCATTTTAAGTGATTATGACAGACATAAGCATTGAAACAAAGTGACTGTATAACAAAAATAAGTCTGTTGTAATTTGTTTCTCATACACTAGCACAATACCAGGATTGCAAACAGTAGAGGGAAATGTTTAAATATTTTTTTTTCCCAAAAGAACATAGTGTGTGTTAGGATTTAAGCTGGGTATTTCCAGGGGCTGCTGGTGGTGTTTTTATTATACAATGTCCACATTTTGAGCCCAAAGGAGATTTTGGATCTTTAAAAATATCTTTGCATGGTTTGGGAGAGAAGTGTGAAATTACCAACATCAATTTGTCACATGTATGTAACAAATATCAAATAGCTTTAGGTGATGTTGATTTTAAAAACATCAGACTAGTACACACCAAGTTTCAGCTTGTTACAAATACCAATTCAGGATTTAAATTATAAAGCGTGCTTATAGATATAATTTCAGCTTAGCAGCTATTATGGAGGCAATGAGTACTGCCGGCGTAGCAAACACATTTCCCACTAATAGCAAAAAAAACCAAATGAAGCACCCCATTTTAAACAAATCTTACCTGAATAAAAGGAAAAATCCATAAATTTCAAGGATCATTCCTATCAAGGGCCAACCAATGAGAACTATAAGCACGCCACCCAGGAAAAAGCCTGTTGCTTTCATTTTGTGTTTCTGGAAGAAGAATCTAAATGTTCTTTCTAAGCCAATAACAAAAGCCAAGCCAGCCACAAATAAAACCTGAAAGAGATACAGAAAAAATCCAACAATGAATGAGAGAGTATATTCCGAAATGACTTTGGGTTTTACAAATGTTTAATGACCATTCTACAAAGATAGAAATGTTACGATGTGAAAGTATTAACCTCAGCCCCTTGTCCCCCCCCCGGTTTGTATATTAGACATGCAAATTATCTACCTTACAAACACAACTGTCAGGTATCTCTGTGACAAAAGTTATTTCCAAAAATTACAGCATGTATTTTGTAATGTAGACATGACTCTAATCATGTCTGCGACCCATGCTGAAGCCCTGGACTGTTTAATAACTTTTAGTGTACACAAACCCTTATAAGTGGTAGTAGGTTACAGTTTGCTCGACTAACTTTGGCAGTGTTTCTGTAAGTCATTAACTCTCTAACCCTAATAAGTATTTAACATAATGTATAATAAGATATTTTAAATAGATTCATTATAACATAATGGAAGAATTAAAAAGTATCACCCCGGTATCACTACATCACAGCTTTGAGATTAATTTATCAATCGATCACTGTTGTAGACTAAATGCTACTCATCTTGTTGCCCAATTAGTCCCATTGCTAACAGTTGACACTCAGCTACCAGGTCTAATTATCTTTCTCCAATCACAACTGCCACCTGCCAGCATGAGAATTAATCCTACTAGCTGGAGCAGTGGTTGGTGGGTTGGTACCTCAAACTGGGTCGCCACCCTATTTGAATAGTGTCAAGACTGGATTAATCTTACTGGGAACCAGGACTGAAGCCAGAACCTGGAGTGCAGGCCCCCTGCCTGGTGCTGAAGTCCTTTAGCTTTAGTTTTGCCCTTCATGCCTGGAGTAGTGGGGCTGAGCTTTGGCTCCCCCTTACGTTAGGCACTGGAGCCTGAATGGGCTCAGGCTTCAGTCCGACCTCCTGGGGTCTTGAAGTAATTTTCCGTTATCAGAAGTGGGTCATGATGCAATGAAATTTGAGAACCCCTGAGCAAGAGTGAAATATGCTTGTGCTGTAAATCCCTCAAAGCCACACCTATATTTTAAAGGAATAAGACACTTGTGTACTATGTCACTCTTACTCCTTTCTTACTGCTCTCTTATTGAATTTTTTTTCTCTTTTTGGTGTCACTCACCCCCCCCCCCCCCCCTATAAAGACAGTATATCTTTTCTTTT